TTTTCAGAGGATTAGGGGCCACTTGGAGTCTCAGGGTGGTGCAAGTGGTTAACATGCTTCTCTACTAACCAAAAGGTTGGTGGTTCCAGTCCACCCACAAGAGCCTCAGAAGAAGGACTTGGCAATCTACTTCCAAAAAATTAGCTATTGAAAATCGTATGTATGTTCTTGGTGATGGGATAATTTGGAAGAAGATATAATGGTTGCACAACTTGCATAATGTAATCAGTGTCACTGAATTGTAAAATGTACAATTGTTAAATTGCTGTATGTTTCATTGTGTATATTTTCACCACAATTTTAAAACAAACAAAGAAAAACCTATGGAGCACACTTCTACTCTGATGCACATGGGGACATCATGAATTGGAGTTGATTTGATGCAACACAACTGGTCAGAGTCACTTACTTCTCTAGCAATTTGTGTTGGGCTCTTGGATGGGGATGTAGGCATTTGGGTGGTGTCCCAGAGTCCAGAGTGGATGACAGTATAATCCTAAGGAAAGTGGGATTTCTTCCAAACTCATTCTTTGAAGCCAGTGATAAAGTCATTGATGGTAATACAGAAGGCAGAGAAGAATTCCCTGGGGCTTTTCTGGAAGCTTTTCTAGATTTATGAAGCAAGTGCCATACTGGCAAAGCTAGGCTTGAGTGTCTGGACTCAGGATATTATTGATGCTTTTGTCCAGTGTGTCAAAATATTATCCCCTTGAGCTGAACCCTACCAAGGTGGCCAGGCCTCCACAGAGGTGGGACCAACCCCACTATAACTCCTGTGCTCTAGCAGGTTGGTGTTGACCAGGGCTTATAGGGGCCCAGAATGCCAGCCAAGACTCTCCATTAACTCAGCTCTATTCTTTCAGGATTTGATGGACTGGGGAAACTGAAGGGGTGGAACAGTGCTCTGACACATTTCCATGAGGTAGCCTTCCCACATTTGTGGCCTCTCAAGCTGCAAAGGCTCAACAAAAAACAAATAAACCAAACCATTGTCCCCAAGTCAACTCTGACTCATAGCAACCTAGAGGACAGAGTAGAATTAACCCATAAGGTTTCCTAGACTGTAATCTTTATGGAAGCAGTTTGCCACATCTTTCTCCTATGGGGTGGCTATGAGTTTGAACTGCCAACCTTTCAAATAGCACCTGAGTGCTTTAACACTGCCCCACCAGAGCTCCTTGGGACTCAGTAAGCCCCTTCTTAATCCCTAGTTTCCTTTTAAGAGCATTGTTCCTATCAGATCATGTCCCTGAGCTCATCTCCTCCCCCTCTTCCATTGGTTGGCCTCCATAACATTCCATTGTCCTTCCTTGAGCAGTCTGGGTTTGCTCCCACCTCAGTATGGAATGCTTTTCCTCATGCATCCATGTGACTCCTCTCCTCTTCCCTTAGGATTTTAACCATGAAGCCATTGCCTCAGGAGTGAACTCTACTTGGTCCTTCCCCAGCAACTCCTCACTCTGTCGCTCTTTGATTTTTTTTTTTCTCTTAAGCAGTAATCATTGTGTAACCTGCTGTATATTCACTGATTTCTCCATCTGAGCTCTAAGGTAGCAGGGGCATTTGTTTTGGTCCCTGCACATTATGGGTATGAAGTAAATATTAGTGGAATTAATAATGGGATGAATATATGGCCTTAATAACAAGATAGATAATTAAACATGACATTAGATCATATTCTGGTCACATAAACAGGTGGTAGGTTAAGAACTGTATAGTTAAGCATCATGTTGAACCTCACATAGACATGAACAGAGTCCGGTAATTATATTTATCTTTTCATGCATCAGTGGTCCTGAGACTCTCTACTTCATTCCTAAAAACTAACTTTAAGTCTCAGGAAATAGAATATGCTCATCTGCACCAGTCCAGGAGCTACAATGGTTCTTTCTTCCCCTGTGTACACACATGACATCCACTAACAATGATGGGAGCACCACCTTCACATCTACAAGACAGTGAAGCCCACATAAATCAATGTGTCCCTGATCCTCAAGAAGTTTAGTTTCATGTCCCAAGACACGTAGCATTATTAAAACAAAGAGCTAAAACATCAATAAACATTCTTGATTATTCTAAGAATGTGTCAACTTTTCAACTCTCATCTGTAAATACAGGAAGATCATATTGCTCTCCATGTAAGAAAACATTTATTTATTCAACCAGTTTTCAGTGAAGAGTTCACTGATGTAAAGACCAAAAGAGCTGCTCTCCTAAAAGAGATTCAATTAGACATCAGTGCAGTTGTACAAAGACTATGTTGCAACACTGAGGTGGCCTGCTTTTCTGGTCATTATTAATCCAGAAACCTTAATGATGAACAACATTTGTGTTATTGTCTACCCAAATTTAATTTGTTTATGCAGAAGTTCAGTTAATCCTGCAATCTGTTTTTCTCAAATGAGAGCAGATAATAGAGACACCGTTCTTTACAAGTCTTGAGGCTTTTAAATTCTGATAACATCAGGATTCTTCACTGGTTCTTGCCCCAGCTCTGAATTAAACCACTTTAAATGTAATTATGAAACCTGGCCTTACATCAGGAACATCCATTTAAAAAATTGATTGGCCGGGCTGTTATATGAGGCATTTTATGAGCAAACGATTGCTATGGGGCCAGAACTGTAATTTATAAAGGCAAAAAAGCAGGTAAATACTTTATTAGTGATAATGAGTGGTTTGCCAGATAATTGAATCTCTTTTCTCCTCACTAGCTACTTCATGGAGCCGTGGTGCATGGCCCTCTTCCATGATCGTTTTATTGATCTCAGGAAAGAGTTACGCCAAATCTTAACCTCCAAGGAGGTAAGAATGATTGATGAATACATACAGTCTTCCTTGAAAATTATAAGCAGTTTTTATTTGTTAATCATTTGGACTTTTCCCTACATACCCACCTTATGGTTTTACTTTTTAACCTACCGTACTTCATATAAGCAAACTATTGTTCATGTAAATGTGGTATCGCAGGGAAAGTGGTAGTTATTTATACCCTTTAGTAGGAGTGGCAAATTCTCCTTTTTAAAAGTAGCAGTCTTTTCATTATCAACTAACAGTGAAGGCTAGAGGCTGAATATGAGTTGTATTTGCTTGCCTCCAAGATTGAAGATTACATTCCTGTAGTTTCTGTCTATGTTTGACAGTAAACATCTGTGTGTATTTGGAAAATGTAAAGATGTCAAAACACACTCTTTATAACTGAAACTTCTTTCTCAAACTCATTCAGGATTACCTGGAAATTAGACTACATGTCCCAAAGATTCCATGCTCAGCAAAAAATTTGACTGCAATGAAATAGCAAGATATTTATATAATTTAAATTGTATTCTTTCATTCAACACTGGAGTCTGTAGCATTGAAGTAACTAGTAACTGCAGTAGGTACAGACCACACCAGATTACACTGTCAGAGAGAGTGACACCAAAATGACTGGCTATAAAATTTTTGTGCAGTGTTTCAGCAGAAATTTATTATTTTTTATAAAAATATTCCTATAGTTAGTTATAACAACAAAAATGTTTTTTGCAAGGTTAGCTTATGTGTATCGAAATACCTACAAAGCTAAAACCCTATGCTACATTACTTTTTACTTCTAGTGCACTCTGTACTTTTTACTTCTAATGCATTCTGGTCAGAGCTGTCACATTATTACACAATTACAGTGATGCTTCAAATCAATTGGTTTCATCGGCACATGCTACAAACACAAACTGTTATGTTTGTTGCTGTTGGTGTTTTTATACTCACTCATTTTGCCAAATTTTCTGGTGTTTTAGCTACAATATTGTGGTAAGTAGAATTTGTGATCCTATGTCAATAATTTTGGGGGAATGAAGGGGTAATTAAAAGAGAAGAAAGAGAAAGAGAAAGAGGAAGACATAGATCATTACATGGGAGATACAGACAACAAAGATGAACCCTTTTGCAGATATAGTACTGTGTTGTCAGTGATGGCAAGCATTGACCTATGGGTGGATAGATGAGTAGACAGCCTGAATGATCAGGTATGTCTAGGCAGGGGATAGTATGTCCATGATCATGTATAGGGTTGGCAGATAATGTTTCTACAAGCATATTTGTATGTGCTGTAAGACTGTCCAGGTGTATAGTAGAGCTGACAAGGTTATGGTGACTTCTTGGCCACAGCAAGCTACCCAGAGGGAGCAAGAAGTTGTTTTGGTCCCTGATCATTATGGGTATGAAGTAAGTATTAGTGGAATTAATAATGGGATGATTATATGGCCTTAATAACAAGATAGGTGATTAAACATTAAACATTAAACAAGACAGCAGGAATGCAAACAGAAACCTGTACACCAGTGTTTATTGCAGCACTTATCACAATAGCCAAAAAGTGGAAACAACCTAAATGTCTATCAATAGATGAATGGATAAACAGAATGTGATATATAAAGAAAAATGAAGTCCTAATACACACCATAGGAGCTCTGGTAGCATAGTGGCTAAGACACTTGCCTGCTCACCAGAAGGCTGGCGGTTCAAACCCACCAGCCAC